AAAAAAAATACAGTGGCAAACCATCTAAAGTACATAACAACTCAAACAATTGGAAATTCATTGCCTTATCTCTATGCAAGTCCGACAATCATCAACTTTTCAGTCCTAGTGTTGGAAAAAAATCTGAAAAGAATTCCCAGTGCTTTATAGAAACCTGTTTTATTTTAACTTTGGTCAAATAATCCAATTTTATTTTCCTTCATTTTACTTCTAACAATTTTTATCTTTAATTCATTCTGATGCTATCATACAATTCTCTCTCTCTTCAGTTTTTATTTTTCCCATCCCAAAAATTCCTTTGAGGTTTCAGCCAATCTCTTTTATAAATCCAATAAAAATTATTGTCCGGGTTGTTCTCTTGATTTATCATTTGTATTTCCACTTAATCTTCAAACTTTAACCAACTTCTTTTATATATAGAATAGAATAGAATAGAATAGAATAGAATAGAATTCTTTATTGGCCAAGTGTCATTTGTCTTTGATGCATATGCTCTCTGTGTACATAAAGGGAAAAATACATTCATCAAGAATCATAAGATACAACACTTAATGATAGTCATAGGTTACCAATAAGCAATCAAATCATGCTAGGAAACAAATAAAACAATATAAATTGTAAACATACAAGCAACACAGTGATAGTAATAAGTGGGAAGAGATAGGTACTAGGAAGGATGAGAGGAATAATAGTAATACGGTCTTAGTAAATAAGTTGACAGTGTTGTGGGAATTAGTTGTTTAGCAGAGTGATGGCATTCGGGGAAAAACTGTCCTTGTGTCTAGTTGTTCTAGTGTGCAGTGCCCTATAGCGTCGTTTTGAGGTTAGAAGTTGAAACAATTTATGTCCAAGATGTGAGGGGTCTGTAGATATTTTCTACATATTTTCTGTAGATATCCAGCAGAAGTTCCCTATCCAGATCATTTTCTTGGCTTGTCATTTCTTGGCTTTAACTGCCTTCTTTGTTTTACAATCCATGCTTCTGCTTATCCAGCATTTCTGCTTCTAATATTTCTACATCAGACAAAATTTTTCACATTTGTCATTCCTTCATTAATGTATTGTGGACATAATCTATCCATAGAAACAGACAGCATTGCTGACATTGTAACTGCTAAACTCTGAACCCATTCTTTAAATATCTCCAGGAACAGTGTTCCTTCAAACCTGTTCATTGATAGAGTGCATTCAAACCTGTGGGAGACCATTGTCTTGTGGTCTCCTTTTGAGGAGCACATGTGGGTAATATCCAGTCCTCTCCTTATCTGGAGAGATTCCACAGAACTCTTGGTTCTTCAATGTTTGCCAAGGTCAATGTCTCCACTCATTGCCACTTCACCTCCCCCGGAATTTTATGGAAAGATGCTGATTCTTAACTGTTTTTCTAAAGGCACAGACATATATCAGGGCTAGATTGTTCCAAAATATGTTCATTCACATGTTTTGTTTTAGAAGAAATACTGTCTCGGATCTTAAAGGATAGTTAGAGCTGTTAGAGATTACCATTAATACTCACTAACAAACTTGTTGTACTTGGAATCCATAATAGAGGATAGTGATTTCAAGTTCATAAAATAAAGTAAAATAGGAGGAGGTATGAGAGGTGTGAAGCCAAGGAAAAATCCATAACATAAAGATAAGGCAGGATTTTGGAAGAGACAAACAAGAGGCATAAATCTTCTATGACAGTTATGCTTTATCATCAGGAAAGAGTCGATTAAATTGTTAATATATAAAGCAGATATACAGTAGGCTTTTAAAGAGGACTGCATTTTGAGCTGTATTGTTGGGTGTCCTGGAGTTGTTTGCTTATAGATAAAATCTGGAGAAGTTCATCCTCTGATTCTGTGGACAGTGGGAAATATCTATTGGGACATAAAATTAAAAAGGTCTCACTTAAGGTTATATTGAATATTGGATCATCCATACCATTAGATCAGGGGTGGGATTCAAATTTTTTAACAACAGGTTCTGTGGGTGTGGTTTAATTGGTGGGCATGGCTTGGTAGTCATGTGACTGCCTAGGCATGGCCAACTCAACATCACTCATATCGAGGCACACATCTCCTCGCCTGGCCTCTCGTGACTGTAGGAATGCTGCAAAAGTCGTAAGTGTGAAAAATGGTCATAAGTCACTTTTTTCAGTGCCATTGTAACTTTGAATGGTCACTCCACACAAGCAATGTGCCAGCAAAGAGGGGGAAAAAACTCCAGAGTTCCTGAGACAGGAACTCTGAGACAGGAAGTCTAATCCTGCCAAGAATGTAATAAGGGTTAATGGAGAGACAATTTCTGAAAGCAACACCAAAATGTTTTCATCCTGCCTTCCTTACAGGATTAGGCCAATAATTTCTTCTAACAACTGGTTCTCCGAACTGCTTAGAATGTTAACAACCGGTTCTAGCGAATAGGTGCGAACTGGTAGAATCCCACCCCTGCATTAGATCTAGATATTAAAGGAGCAAGAATTAAAATAGATACTCAACTTATGACCACAATTGAGTCCAAAATTTGTGATGCTAAGTAAGAAATTTGTTGACTTTTGCTCCAATTTGCAACTTTTCTTGTCACATGTATTAAATGAATCACTGCCATTATTAAATTTGTAACGTGGTTAAGTGAATCTGATTTCCCTATTGACTTTTCTTGTCAAAAGGTTGCAAGAGGTGATCACATGACCTTGCGACCCTGCAACCATCGTAAGTTGTCAAGCATCCAAATATAAATCATGTGACCATAGGGATATGTGTGAAAAATGGTCATGTCACTTTTTTCAGTGCTATTATAACTTCAAATGGTCACTAAAAGAACTGTTGTAAGTCAATTACCTATATGTCCTCCGTAATTTGTCTTATTTCTTAAAATGAGATCTTTGGCCATCTGTCTCTACTCTTTATGTGATGGTATTTTCTCATTTTTCCAGTTTTTAACAAATACAATCCTAGCTGCTGTTAATACATTTACAATCAGGTATTTCAAGTCTTTACTATATATTTCAGGTAAAATTCCCAATAAAAATATCTCTGGTTTCAAGTCTATATGTTTTTTTGTCATTTTTTCCAACCACATGTGGATTTTAGTCCAGTATTTTTTAGCATCCGCACAAGTCCACCACATATGGTAATATGAGCCAGGTGTCTGATGACATTTCCAACATTTTTTGGATTTATTCTTGAACATTCTTGCTATTCTTGTCGGGGGGAAATGCCACCTGTAAAACATCTTATACAAATTTTCTTTATATGCTGTTGACATTGTCATTTTATAATTTTGAGACCACAATTTTTGCCATTTTTCTAAATCGATCCCATATCCAAAATTCTTCCCCCAAGCAATCATAGTTTCTTTAACTTGTTCTTCTTCTAGTTTAATTTCTAATAAATATCCATACAATTTTTTAATCACCTTTTCATCAGTATCTGTCAAAATCTTATCTGTCAGTCAGTTTATCATAGAAACCTTCTGTTTTAGAATCTTTATCATACCTTGAATGTATTTGCGCATATGAAAACCAATTCATCTTTATACCTTGTTCCTTTAGTTTTTGCATAGATTTAAGTTCACCCTTTTCATTCAATATTTCACCATATCTAACTGTTTGTTCCTTTTTGTATATTATAGGATAAGAAAATGCTTCAATAGTCAATAACCAGACTGGAATTTTCAAATAACATTGTCTTTTAATCTTCTTCCAAGAAGATAATTAGCTTTCTTATGTAGTGGGTTCTTGGCACAGATAGATGAGTGGTTTACTGCTGATTTTGAATAATGTTATAACTTTAATAAGATGTTGCATTTGTATTATATTACTGTCACTTTGTGCACACTGCCCAGAATCTTTTTAGATTGAAAGAGTTCATACATTTTCAAAATAAGCAACCATATGCGCTTACATCTATGGAAATTACGGAATGGAGGCACCAAGTGTCAGAAAATAACATACCTTGTAACAAAAACATGAAGCTATTGTAGGTGGATATATTTTTAGTTTTACGGGACCATTAAGGACAGGAATATTACATCTCTCCTGCCATGTTTAGTCATCTGAATATTTTAGAAAAGAGGCTTTTGTGTGACCTCCAACTTTCTAGCTTTAATCGTTAGCTAAAAAGATAAAAGGTATAGATTTATAATAAATCTAATAAAAAGGTAACCTTTTAAAGATTTATAGCATGGTATGTGCTATTAGCTAATGAGTAGCAAAAAATATATAGAGAAAATGTATACTGCAGATATTTAGAAATCATTACTTGAACCAAGCCAAGTGCTGATGTAAGTCAAATCATTTGGTATTTTGGAACATGGGTGGAATAAATGATGGGGTCATATGAACTGATGATTTATTATTAGTCAAATATTTGCAAGCTGAACATTATATAGAATTAAAAAAATGAATTTTACAAAATTGATTTGTCAGCCAAAGGTGGCTGAATAACTTTCATTCCTTTTATCGACCTTATCGTTTTTGCTACTGTGAAAAATATCTTGATGTGTCATACGAAAATGGAAACATCATACTGTTTCACCACATATTTTTGTTTGGCTCTGATATAGGAACTGTTGTTGGTTTGGTTCTGGTTTAGGGCCTGTATGTCTTTAAAAGCTGTATACTTTTTAAAAATAGTCTCTGACTCCAATTTCTCTTCTAGTGAAAAGCTAAGCAATTTTAGAGCCTAGTTATGCATAATGTTCATATTTTAAGAGTCCTATTTCCAGTTAGACTTTTCAATCTTAGAGTGACTGGTTAAAAATAATATTTGGTTCTTAAGAAGAATATGTTCTGTTGGCTGCAACTGCATAATTTGAGATCGTTGTTGTTAGAAGTTAAGCAGTTTGTTCCCATGCCAGGGTACAATAAAAAGCAAGAAGATAAATAAATTGTTAATTGCAATACAGCCCAAATCAACCAATAGGCAAAGATTAGCAGTTATTCCTTATCATCTCTTACAGATTTCTAATTCAAAGATGTAAGCCAATCATTAGCAATGAGAGTGTATGGCATGTGAAGCCTCACCTGTAGTTCTCTTCCCTTTTTATTTAATGTAGCCACAATGGCTACAAAGACAGTGTCAGCATTAAACAACAATTTTGTGTCTATAATCTTCCTTTCATGTAACTTTTCTGACATGCTCACTTACCCTTGACAGAGCTAGCTCTCCCTGCAAAATGGTATCACTGTTGCTCATTACAACTTTTTTGTTTCTCACCAATTTTTGTGTTATTTTAGATATTATTATAAGAAAAAAAGATTCAATATTGTGACTGTGATAGATAGTTATTATGCCACAGACTAATGGAAGAAGTACTAAGGTAGAATAATATCCTATTTGTGGGTGCATCTCCCAAGTTATTCCAAATCTAAAATAGAATGTGTGTGGTATATATGTATCCTACAATGCTTACTGGCGTATAAAATAGAACTTTATTGCTTTTTAGTATTTTCACTATTTGAAAGACTGGAGAGAAGATGAAATTTCCAAACATTGATTGTCCCAAAGTTATTCTCCAGTTGTGTGCGGCTGGGAAGGACAAGTTGAAAAGAGGTGCTACATAAATACAAAAATAGAAGCAATAAGAGGAAATGTACAAACCAAATGTGAGAAAATAAGGGGAAAATTGAGTGAGAAAAATTGGAATCATTTTTGCGATATAAAGATGTACAGTTAGTTTACCTTATGTGTTGCTTGGGATGGAGTATATAAGAAGTATTGCTTTCACTGTAAATAAAGATGCATTGGAAGACAAATACCTGATGTACGTTCCTTCTATTTTTTTAAATTCATTCATTCATTCATCAAATTTATAAGGGCTGCCCATTTCACATGAAATTACCATAATGTATGTGTCTTCATATGCTATAAGAAAAATAAACTGTACTCAGAAAATATTAAGTATACAGAAGATATTTTTCCAGGATAATTTTGCTCCATCAAGAAAAGTTTTCTGGATATATTTCTTTTTAGACTCATTTTTATTTTCTGTATAATAATAATGAAGAAAGGTAAAGATTTTCTCAAGTAAAGGTTGACTTTTGGTGACTGCAGAAGTAGAGCCATAAAGGAATTCTGATAAGAGTATAGAAGTGAGTCTTCTATAATGCTTTCCAATTTCCCAGTGTGATCTCATTAACAGACTTTCTCTGTCACACAAAATCTTTGACATGCTAATGATAATGGTAAAATAGGAAGGTAGAAAATCATGATTAAATTGAAGAAGATACAATATGAGAACAATTTGCAACAGAAGTTTTTTCAAATTTTTCTACTTTCATTCGCAGCGCAATCCTCCCATGGTGGTCAAAGATCTATTTGAAGACATTAAAGATGGAATTGTATTGATTGCTCTTTTGGAGGTTCTTTCAGGACAAAAATTGGTAAGTATTTTTAATATATAAATACTTATTTATTGTACTATTAATTGATCTTATTCATGCTTTGTAAATAATGGCCTTTCCCCGAAACATTGGAATGTTAATGTTCTTTCCCTGTGCATAATAAATAATGCATACTCTATAATATTGATCTGGTATAACAGATGGATTTATGAATTGTTGATCATCCAGTATACATAACCCATGCTAGAAAAGTAAATGAATGAAAAAGTAAGCATTAAATAGTGTAAATATTTTCATATTAGCATTATAAAGTATCAAGAGTATACTGTTAAGAAATCATTCTATGATTGGTTCATTTTGACTTGGTTTTATAGTGTTAGTCACTGTAATTTATAAATCTCAGTGTGTGGTGTAATGTTATGGATATATCAGGCCACTCTTTTTTTTTTTTTTTCAATAAGCCATAGTTAAAACAAGGCCTTCAAAGTTCAGATCCCATGGACAGTAAACAATCTTAAGGTGAAAAAAATCCATTTTAGAGAGTGATTTCAGACAACAGTAGTCTTTCATACTTTAAATCTAACTAATCCCCTGTAATCACAGTCAACATGGCCAAGGGTCATGTTAACTGGGATTCTGAGATAGCTGGAAACATTATTATTAGGAGCTGTGGTGGTGACACAGTAGTTAGACTGCAGTATTGCAGGCTGACTCTGCCCACAGCTAGGAGTTTAATCCTGACCAGCTCAGTGAGGTAAAATGAGAACCCAGATTGTTGGGGGCAATATGCTTACTCTGTAAATCAGTTAGAGAGGGCTGTAAAAGCACTATGAAGCAGTATACAAGTCTAAGTACTAAGTGCTGTTATGGAGAAGTCTGTCCTAGAATAATTGAGCAGAACTAGGCAAGTTTAATTAGAAATTAATTGAGATATAATGGTGTCACTGCTCAGAGGAATTTGTTTCAGGACCTAGCAACTAAATTGCTGAAATCTTGAGCAAATTAGGGCTGAAGAACAGGTATTTTACTGTTGGTCTTATATCGGGTACTTCTTGGATTTTATAGTCCAGTAATCCCTGGTTTCCACAGGACATGTGCAAAGTTTTTCATATGGATTGTAAAATTGTATTATTCATTGAAATCCAAGTGCAATTATCATTTTCAGAGTGCAAAGAGCTCTTCGGTTCCTACTTGTTAAATAACTTTCAGTCATCTATTATGATAAGAAAAAATACTCCCTCTTGTGGTAGAAAAAAATCTTAAAGTTTGTCGTTACTTTTCTTTAATTGAAGAATACTACAAATTAGTTTTATTAGTGAAGCATTAAAAAATTGAAATTGATTTATTTTGTATTTATCCAAAATATCTATTTTTAAAAAAATATATAGAACAGGTTTTAATCAAAATCAAAATAAAATATATTTCAGCAGTTATTTTTATTTAAAAGTTAGTACAGTTTAAAGGCAATTTGATGCTGGCCATATTTGTTCAATTTTAGCTTCTGTGCCTAATCCCCAGTTAGCACGGCCATTCACTGGAGATTTGGGGTGTTTGACTGCAACATTTCCAAAAGTTATCACAAGAGGGGTAATTCTGACTTGTAAACACTGACAACTGACTTCTATAAATTACTGGTAGATTTATATTCTATTCCCTCAGAATATAAATATAAAAAGAATAGGAGCTTTAAGAGATCAATAACTTTTGCCTAAAATTGGTTTATTTATTTGGATATGAGGCTTCTATCCATCACTGAGTTTCCGTTCTAGTGGTTTTGTTTAGGTATTCCCATTATGAATACAGTCTGTTTTTATACTGTGATTTGTTAAATGTCAATGGACCTTTTTTATTTATATTTTTTTAAAGCCTTGTGAACAAGGGCGAAAATTGAAGAGAATCCATGGAGTGGCCAATATTGGTACTGCTCTCAAGTTCCTAGAAGGACGTAGGGTAAGTTTCAGAGTTTTGTATAGCCATTTGCCTCTTTTGCACACACCCTGAAAGAAACTTACCAGACTTAACCAGTCACAATTTTTCCCTACTCTGTAGTTGGGATGAAATTAAATGAAAAATAAAATAAGAACCTCAGGAACTAAAGCAGTAACTATTATAGAGAGATGATAGGAAGTAGTGAGTTTAAAGCACTTTTCATGTTAACTTGTTACTCTGTATAAAGCATATTTTTATTTCATTTTATTCTAAACATTATCAACATATAGGATTTTAAATACATATTTATTTGTTTTCCATGCTAGTCCGTGTATAGAGGATCACCGGTTAGTATAAAACTTTTATCAAACATTCAACAATATAACAAATTTCACTAAAATTAAATAAACATTTAAAAACATAATTAGCTATATTACTTAAGTACTCTATATAGAGAGCAAAAGGTACAAAGACATACATATTGTAGGGAATATAAAGACCAGATATATGTTATCTAGAAAGGTACTATAAATGTAGTTCTTCAGGTATGCTGCCAGGAGTATGGGGGCTTGAGCAGTTAGGACACTGGGTTGGAGGTGAGCAACTCCACGTTCAAGATCTGAGAGCTGCTATGGAATGGGGTTGAGCTCCCATCCTTTACTCCAGCTCATGCTGGGAGCATCAAAGGAGCCCTCAACTGGGCATCCGCAGGGCAACAGTGATGTCACCGCTAATCTTTTCAACCTGGAAGCACCTCAGTGCTTCTGACACGAGGGCAGCAGCAGGTTATCTGCCAGGTTATCTTCTCAAATGAACATATTGGGGCAAAGATTGCTAATTTTTGTCAATAGTTGTCTTCTTATAATACTCCTTGCTAGTTTTCTTATATTAATTCTCTATCCTATTTGATCTTGGGAGTGAACGCATTCTGCAGGGGATGGCAAGCTCAAGTGGTTTGGCTTCCTATTTTTGGCAAATGGATGCAGGGAATTTTTATAAGCAAAATAATGTGTGGGATCTAGTAATTGACAAGTGAAGTAAAGGTTTATATACCTAAAAGTCTATTTGAAAAGCATCGAGTGCAGCATATTATTTTCTTCCTAATCTACAGAGTGTCAAGCCTGAATTTGATTGGATGGTAGATTGGGTTGGACTGCCCTAGTTTGCAGGATTTTCATGGTCTACTTTCATGTACATTTCATTCCATCTAAGAAATACAAACATAAAGTGACAAATGTTTGATATACTTATAGAATTTTTTAAAATTTGGAAGAATAACTGTAGGCATAGCATAGATTTTGAGAGTATATGCTATTTACATTAAAGCTCATAAACATATCCACAAATGATTTCATCTTATAACAAGCTACCTGGTTGTTGGGCTTTCTCTAATGCATGATGATAATGTGTTTGCATCTTCCTACCCCAAAATAGATTAAGCTTGTCAACATTAATTCAACTGATATTGCTGATGGAAGACCATCTATTGTTCTTGGGTTGGTGTGGACAATAATCCTGTATTTCCAGGTATGGTATTTTCCTTTTTTAAAAACAATAAAAGACACATTATTACTGCACTGGTTGCACAAGTCAGCCAGTGTCCTTCCTAAGCCAAAGGCATTGTTTGCTATTTGATGGTGTTAAAAGTAAAACTGCCTTTTGCAATTGACTGATGATGATTTTGTCAATGCCATTGTTGTTCAAGTGGTGTTCCAAATGTTTTGGAATTGCACTTGAGGCATCTATTATTATCTTCACTTTCTTTTGTCACAATTATTCTATTCTATTCTATTCTATTCTATTCTATTCTATTCTATTCTATTCTATTCTATTCTATTCTATT